GAAAACCAGGGACTGTGCCCAAGCTGGTGCAGCAAGTAACTCCAGGAAGTAGTTCTCTTGCTTCTGAGGGCAATGCTTTTTGCTAGATGATGGGCCAGGGGGGGCAAACAAATTCCTCTCCCTTGAGGATGTATAGGCACCCACACAATTTGCATTGCTGAGAGTCTATCATAGGCTCCAAACATTTACACCCAGAATGTCCTTTGGTCAGCTGCTACCTCCCATATCCACTAAGGGAAATGCATACATGTTCATAATGATGGTAGGAATAGCTCAAAACCACCATCTCCACTGCAGGGACAAGGGACACAGTTCCAGGGAGTTGCTGCCCAGGGTGAAACTGTAATGTTTCCAGCTGACAACACTCTGCCCCCTTCCACACTCTCTTTCCCTCCCAACAGGGGAAAGGATGTGAGAGAACAAATAAGCATCGTGTGATGGCCTCACTACACTTCCATGCCCATCTTCTCCACAGACCTCACCCAAGTACTTTCCTTGAAGTGGAGCAAAGTGGGAAACAAACTTTACCGTCCCCTTCACAGGAGTGCTTGCTCTCAAGTGACAGTTGGCTCTTCCCTCTGGCTTGCTAAACCCTAAGCTTTTGGCCAGAAGGTGGTGGGCACACGCCTTTAATCCCAGCACTCAGGAGGCAGAAGCAGGTGGATCTCTGTGAGTTCGAAGCCAGCCTGGTCTACAGAGCGAGTTCCAAGACAGTCAAGGCTACACAGAGAAACCCTGTCTCAAAAAAACAAAACAAAAAAACAACTAAACCCTAAGTTTTCCAAGCAAGCTGTTCAAAATCTGCCAGGGAAGAAAAGTCAAAGAGCCCATTTTTGGCCTACACTTAATTTTATCTCCAAGCCTTGACATACAAGAGCGGAGCAGATGCCACCAAGCCAGGCACCTAAAGGGCAGCCTCAACTGCACCTCACTATGACCCCTTCTGAAGACTTTCTGCCAACTGTATACAGTCTGAACCCAGCATTTACCAGATCCTAGAGTTTTTTACTGCTATTCCCAGGCCCTTTTTCTCCCCAGTTCTCAGATTTGAGAAATCATAACGTAAGGGGGAAGCCAGGGGAATGGGAGGAAGACATCCAAATCTGGTTAAAATCCCAGGTTGGTGATTTAATAACAACACAACTCCAGGCAAGTCAGCTAGTCAGCACTTACACTAGCACTGTTGATGGCCAGACTGGCTGCAGGCACACAGAGCGCATGAGGTATTCACAGCAGGCATTCAAAAGGGCTCCCAACTCCTTCCTAAGGCCACTAAGTGACTAAATCCACTCTCAGGAGGAAAAAAAAAAAATGACAAGGAAACTGACTCAAATGAGTCTGAAACTAAAGAAGTTCCCAATTTCAACCATAAGATTGCCCGGGACCATTACTTCATCAACTTTCCTTTTTTATATCTGATCGCAGAGCGGCGCGATACTATAGAGACTCAGGCAACTATGTCAGAGGACTTAAGTCACCCTTCTCCCTGAAGTTCAAAGAAAGAATCCTTAAGTCAGCTCCTCAACAAAGGTGTCAACGACTTCTGCATTTGTGAACAGTGACTGACAGCTGATAGACATTATGGAGCGCCCAATGGAAAAGTGGTATTCTTCAATATACCACTGCACACACACCCACCAAGAAAGTGCCTTCGTAATATCCTATTTGAACATGAAGAATAAAGAAGAGTTTGTGTGTGACCCCAAGAACTAGACAATGCTTAATAAACGCAACAGAAAGCCACATGGACATATAATAATAAATGTGTGGGACCAAATAATGCAGCCTGATGTTACCTAGAAATATGTATGTATCTGTCAAAGACTGAAGTAGACAACTAAACTCATTACTTAAGAGCCTTGCACTGAACAGTATAACAGAAACACCACAGGTGTGGGCTCATATGTAGCCACACACACAAAGACACATATCACCTATAGCTCTACCAGGAAGGTAGACACAGAAGGTCAAATGAACATTGAGTCACTGAACCTGTTCTTTAAACATGTACGTTTTCCACTACTGTCTACAGTAATCCTGAATAAAACATCGGAGAGGGAGAGAGACTTTCCTTATAAGAATTAAATTCTTGAAATGTGGATCCAATGTTTAACAGTAATAATTCATGGGAAGTTTTTAAATTTACCTTAATTCTGTAGTTGGTTTCTGCCTTCTCCTCTCTTCTTCCCATTCATAGCTGATATTTTTTAGGTACATACAACTCAACTCATATAAGCTGCTGGGGTAAAGGCCGCTACAGTCATTGAGTAGATTTCTACTGGCTGAAGTAAGATGGACTTCTGTCACTTTTGTATTTTTAGGCTTTAAATATTCCAGAGCAGGAGGTTGAAAGGAATTGTTTTCCTAGCCTGAAACAGCTCGTTAATTATTGATGTAAGTCACACTTACAATGAGGCGCTTGTACACTTTTCTGCACGGTGCAAATCTAGTTTTCCTCCCCAAATCCCTCGTGATCTTTATTACATAAGAAAACAAAATAGATCTGGTGTGGTGGCACACGCGTAAGCCCAGCGCGCCGGAGGCTAAGGTAGGTAGACAGCAAGTTTGAAGCCAGCCTGGGTTCACAGCAAGGCAGAGATGGGAAAGGAACGAACATCAATAATGCCAACATGTTCCTCATTGCTCAAGGATGGGAAACCATAAACACACACACATACACACACTATCTAATAAAAATCTCCCTTAAAACTTGTCCTTCAAGCTTAATCTCCAGGATTAAGTGTTTCTGACGCCTCCAGCGACTCATGAAAATGAAAGAAAAGCAAAGTAGAGTCCACTGAGTAAATACCCTCAGGGAGAAAGGACAAGAGAAATCAACAGTGGGACTAAATCATGTGGGAGGGTTTCACTCATCTTCCAATAGCGAGTGTCACTTAGATGACAATGTAAACATCAGTGGTCCAAGTGTAGCCCTAACAAAAGGATTCAAAAAAAAAAAAAAAGTCAGCATATTTTCTGGTTTTGTTTTTCGTTTGGGAAACTCAGAATACTCCAAGCAGCTTACAAAAGAATTGCACCCAGTTAACTGTGTGACACACCACGAAGGAAAAGCAGCCACAACAAACAACAGACCCGGACACCCCAAGGAGCCTGGGATTTACAATCATAAAAGTCTACAGACTCACTTTGTGACCTGCTAGACTCTGTGGGAGCACATATCCACCATGTTAATGAAGGGCAGTATTTTCCTAAAGATTAATTCATACCATGTGTTATTAATCAGCAGAGTAACTGAACGCTCATGCAAAAAATGCTCTCCCCAGTTGAGTAGAACTTAATTGCATTATTGTTATTAGCATGGCTGCTGCACGGACTTCCCTGTGTCACTGGCTCCCGCCCACTCCAAGTCAAGTATTCAGACCTCACCCCCCAGACAGACAGACAGACAGATAGACAACACCACACTATGAAGAGAAAAACAGAAAACCCAGAGCCAGAAGGTAGCGGCCACGTCTGTCACAAACAGTTTTTTCAAGAAACACCGTTTGTCTCTGGGAAGACGGGTCAAGTCAGCACCAGACTGCTTTGAGAAGTAATTAAGCTTAGGCTGTTTCATTTCACAGTGTCCCATCTTGCAAAACGTGGGAGCAGCTGTGGGAGATCACAGACGACGCAAAGCAAAACAGGCAACTACATCTTTCTCCCCCATGTTAACAGCAATTTCCAGGGGGCCTAAAAAGGATGCAGCGTCTGTTCTCCCTGGCCGCACAAAGCCGGCCTGCCATCCAGAACACGTTCTCAAGTACCAAAGCAGCCCCTTTTCAAGGGATGAAGAAATGCAGCTTCAACGTCTCAGTCAACGTTCAAATCTCAGAAAACCAACTTTTCATCCAGGACTTGAGACCTCTCCCAAAGTTCTTAAGTTGCAAGCCAAAATTCTCTCAGGTAGACACAGGGCTTGGCCGCCTCCATCACAAGTTCCTCTGGCTCTGGCTGCCTTGTCTTGCAGGGGTTTAGAAAAAGGGAAACAGAACGTGAAGTCTAGGAGCCAGGCGTCCGCCCCCCCCCTCCCCCATTTCCTTCCCAACGTCCCTTAAGAGAAGCTGGAACCTTGAAACTGAGAATCCAGGAACCAACTGCACTTGGGACGCTTGCTGGGGCAAGGGAAGAGGCGTCACACCCTTTTGAGCTCACAGACTCCGGCGGGGAAGGGCCCAGAAACTTAGTCCCAAAAGGAAGTGGGGAGAGAGGATTCCAGTCTTTGACTGAGAAGCTGGAACGGGAAGGCTGAGAGATGGGAATGCGAGAGGGAGCCGTGGACTCAGCTGGAGGAACTGGGGTCGCCCGAGAAGTCAGGACAGCTCTTAACACGTCCCAGCCAAACTGCACATTTTTGTGGTTTAAGATTTAAGACCAAAGGGAACACACTGAGGTTCTCCCCCGCTCGGGGCGCTTCTCCCCCGTCTGGGTTTCAGATGCCTCCTCCTAGCAGAGGGACCCCGGCGCCACTCTGCTGCCGGCCTCTTCTTTCTCTTTCGGGGGAGCTGTCCATCTGCCCAGCCGAGATGTCCACCCTCCAAGTTCGCCCGACCAAGTGCGGGCGCGGCGCCTGCGGCCAGCCACCTGCGCGCGTCTGCTGCAGACCCCGCAGGCCCAGAGCTGGGCGTCCAGGGGATGCTGCGCAGGGAGTCGGGGTCTGCTGGTTGCTTTTCATTCTTTGAACAAAAAGCCTTAGCTGCTAATCGCTCACTCGTGCCGGGCCAGCCACCTTCCCTTCACACCCACGCTGCACCTCCCGGCACACGCGCTGCGAGGTGCCGCTCCCGCCAGACAATGGGTTCGTGGCCGGCGGGGCAGCCCGGCCCGAGGCCCTCTCCCCATCCCAGGACCCCAGGAGGGCGCAAGGCGAGGGACCAAGACGAGCGAGGCAAGGAGCCCACAATGGGGAAGGTGCGAGCCTCGCCCTCGGGACGGGAGGAGCGGGTTCAGCTCCGCCGCCTGCCCCACCGGGGCCCCGCGCCCGGCCGCCGCGTACTCACCAGCACGATGGCAAAGCGCTCCTCCAGTTCACCTGGCTCGGGCATCGGCAGCTTCAATGGCACGTTGTGCGCCCTGAAATCGGTCTGCTGCGAGTCCATGCTCCCCGCGTTGCCCATGTCGGCTGCGTGCCGGGAGCCTCGGCTGGCTCCGGGCCCCTCGCGTCGGCGTCCGAAATGCCCACAGCCCCGGGCGCTCGGCTCCCGCCCTCTGCCGCGTCCCGGCGAGCGTTCCGCGCACACCGCTCCCTAGCAGAGCTCCGAGCCCAGCCGGTCCCCGGCTGCTCTCATGCTCCCCGTCGCCCCGGCGCCGCCCCGGCCTGTGTGCCTCGCGAGGGGTCTGCAGGGCGCCGGGCGCCGATCTGCATGGTGCTCCCGCCGCCCCCGCCGGCGTCCGCGGCCGCTCGCGCGCTCCTGCTCGCCGGCCTCCCTCCCCGGGCCGCAGCCGCGCTAACACCTCAGCCCCGGCCCCACCGCGAGCGGACGGTCGCGCACCGCGAGCCGACACAATGCCCCCTCTCGGCCCCCGCCCCCGGCCCGGCTCCGCCCACCCGCCCCGCGGACTGCCGGGACACGTAGTTTCGGCCCAAACCGGCCACGCGCAGAAACTGCGCGCGCTCCTGGAGGGCCGCGCTGTGGTTGGGCTGTTTGCAGCAAAGACAAGCTGGACGCGGGCGGTGAAGTGGCTTTTTGTCACTTTTGACATGACCTCCCTCACCCCGGTAGTTTAAAGACCTGCCTGGTCTGCGTTAAATCTGACTCTTCAGCACTTTTGAAGAATGAATGAATGAATCCAGTCAATCAGAAAACACATGATTTAAGTTTCAGAAGAGTATCACCCTGTCAAAGGATCTAGTTGAAGAGGACGGACGGACACACACACACACACACACACACACACACACACACACACACACACACACGGTACTGGCAATGCCCAACTTCATGAGCTAATGAGCTGAGAGTGAAGGCGTGGTACGGGTTCTTTGATGTGATTGAATGTTTTCTAAACAAATGTGTGATTTATGGTATATGTAGTCAGACCCCATGAATTGTTACAAGAATTCAACCCAAAAGAGACAATTCAAAACAAATAACTGACAAAGACCTATGACGGAATTACGGTTCCATAGGCTGAGTAACCCTGCTCTGGAATGCTCTCAAAAGTAGTACAGAAGATGATTTACACAGATAACCATTTTGTGTGAGCTGGGTACATGATCTGGAGTGTTGGAGGCATGCGAGTCATCTTTGACTGCACCCTACCTTCTTCCAAAGCAGACTTGTACCAAGTGTTTCACAGAGAACATTAGGCTCAACTCTGTCCTCTGAACTTAATTAGCCATTCTGAATGCTTGGAAATACAGCATTATACACTACTTTAGCCAGCTATCCTCGCTGTAGATAAGTGCATGCATCTGATTGACTTGCGGCTGAGTCATTAGTCCTGCCCTTACCTTGAAGGGATGTTTCTTAATCTCAGCCAATGGGGAACTTGGCTAAAGTTGCACATACCTTGAGCTCTGCCTAGTACCAGAATCTCCCTAAACTGAGAGATGGAACCTGGATACGGGTAGTCGCTAGCTCCCAGGTGATTCTGGTATGCAGCTTGGCTATCATCATTCTGAAGGAGTTGTCAAGAGCCACGACTTTTCCTTAGTAGTTATGACTACCTGGGCCCCACTGCTTTGCCTGCTAAGCACGTGATTTTTAGGATAATTGCTTAACTTTTCTGTGCCTTAATTTCATCATCTGAAAAAGTCATAATAATAATGACGCCTAACTTACAAGGTTGGGTGCAGTCTCGATGGATCTGTACTGTTTAGATAAAAAATGCAGAATAATAAGTATGGCTATATATACTGTCATCATCATCCTCATCATTTTATTGATCTCAGTCTTTCCTATTTATGCCCTCAAACTTGTGATGGCTAATGTTGTGTTAATTTTAATTAAGTAGACTGGACTAAGGGATGCCCAGAAAGCTGATAAAAAGAAACATTATTTCTGAGTGTGTGCATTTCACTCAATAGTCTGAGGAAAACAGTTCATCTTCACTCCAGCAGCAGGGCAGCACCCCTTTCTGCTGAGGCCATAAATAGAACGGTAAGTTTGCTCTCTGCTGTCTGGGACATCACCTCTCTCAGGCATTGGTGCTCCTCCTTCTGGGCCTTTGAACCTGGACCAAGACTTATATCATTGGCTCTCCTAGGTCTCAGAGCTTCTGATTCCAGCCCTGTCAACAGCTTCCCTGACGTCTAGCTATCTTTCACAACAAATCTCCATATATATTTATATGGAGAGAGAGAGACAGAGAGAGAGACAGAGAGAGAGAGAGAGAGAGAGAGAGAGAGAGAGAGAGAGAAACACCTAAATGGTAACCTCTGTGACTTTTGCCAAAAACATATGGTAATAAATATCAGAAATATATTTAGTATGCTAAATGAACCACTTCTAAATTTTTTAAAAATTTGTTTATGTTTTATTATTTTGTGTGTGCTGTGTGTTCAAACCCACATAGAGGTCAGAGGGCTACTTTCAGGAGTTGGCTCTCTCTTTCCAACACATGGGTTCCAGAAATAGACCTCAGCTCATCATGCTTAGAGGCAAGCTCCTTTACCTCCAGTACATCTCACTGCCTCTCTTCCCCAACACATACACTGTGTTTTTGTTTAGACTTTATTATTATTACTTTATATGTATGAGTGTTTTCCTGTATATACGTATGTGCACCACATGCAGGCCTGGAGCCCTGGGAGGTAACAGAGGGAGTCAGATCCCCTGGAATGGAGTTACAAATGGTGGTGATCCATCATGTGGGTGTTGGGAACCAGACCCACATACTCTGCAAGAATGACAGATGCTTTTAACTGGTAAACCAACTCTCCTGCCCCACTTCTAACTTTTTTTGAAAGAGATCATAAATAAATCAGCCTTTAAATTCTCAACAAGTGCATGTATTTCTGAAGCATTGTCTAAAAGCTATTGGCAAGTGTGCTATTGATATAAGAGAGGAAAACAAAGGTCTAGTTGCGTACCCCACACTAATGAAAATGAGCAAACAAGAAGTTAGTTCAGACCAGGTGAGGCAAAAGGGTTTTTTGTTTTGTTTTGTTTTGTCTTTTTGAGATTTCTCAACATATATTCTAGGTCTGACTGACTCACAGAATCAGCCCACCCAGAGAGCTGCCCGTCTGGATGGAAAAGCTGGAATTTGTTTCTGCAGTCAAGAAAGGCTTTTTATTACATTTATGACTTCCTCTGGCCATACTTCTGCCAGGACCCGAGACCTTTCCCTCCTCCTCGGTCTTATCACATCTAGTCTCTCTCATGAACTCTTACTTTGAGAGGAGCCAAGGACAAAGTGTGCACATCCGGGAACCAGAAGTACTTTCTGCTACTTCCAGCTTTGCCATCTCTAGCATTTGGTTATTATTTATACATAGTATTAAGAGGAATTCCAAACACCCCATGGGTTTGTTCATTTGGTGTGGAAATGCCCATCAATAGCTCAGGAATTTTTGTTTTAAGAATTTCATAAAGAGTGCTTGCTTCAGCAGCACAAATATCCTAAAATTGGAATAACACAGAGAAGAATTCCATAAAGAGAAAGAAGAAGACATTTCTATTGGACCAGTGTGTGTGTGTGTGTGTGTGTGTGTGTGTTTGTGTGTGTGTGTGTGTGTGTGTGTGTGTGTGTGCAGGTGCACACACCACAGCTATAGTAATATTTCTTTCAGAGGTTATGAATCACAAAGCTATATGATTGGTTTTTTTGGCCCTCAGCCTCGAAAATAGTTTACTTGATTACAGAAATCTAGGTTGAAAATGGCTTTCTCTTTACATTCTGAAGATGTCATTTTATCTTCTACTAATGGTAACTGAAGATGAGAAGGCTACTGTCAGGCCAGCCATCACTTTTGTTTTTCTGGTTTTTCTTAAGATTTATTTTTTTATATGTATATGTGTGTGTTGCCTGCAAGCATGTGTATGCACCCCATGTACACAGTGTCCGCCCACAGGGGCCAAAAGAGGGTATTTGGATGCCCTGGAACTGGAGTTACAGACAGTTGTAAGCCACTTTGTAGGTTCTGGGAAGTGAACCTGGACCCTCTGCAAGAGCAGTGAGTGCTCTTAACCAGTGAGCCATCTCTTCTGTTACTTGTTTTTGTAATTTGAGTATATGATCTTACTGTGTAGCTCTGGGTGGCTTGGAACCCATTGTGCAGACCAGGCTGGCCTCAAACTCAGTGAGAGCTGCCTGCCTCTGCCTTTCAAGTACTGGAATTAAAGATGTGCACCAATTGTCCCTTTTTAAATCTATAGATGTTTAATGTTCTCTCTCCTTTCCCTTTTAAGATTTCTGTTCTTCATGCCTGGCAGTGGTAGTATATGCCTTTACTTAGCACTTTGGAGGCAGAGGCAAGTGGATCTCTGTGGATTCAAGGCCAGCCTGGTCTACAGAGCAAGTTCCAGGACAGCCAGGGCTACAAGGAGAAACCCTGTCTTGAGGGTTCTTTGTCTTTGATTTTTCTACAATTTTGCTTCAGTGTGTTTATTTGTTTTGTAAATCAATTTCCCTGCTCAGGACTGGATGTCTTCGTTTGGGTTTCTTTTTTTGTGAAGAGACACCATGACCACGGCAACTCTTTTAAAGGAAAAAATTTAATTGAAGTAGTAGCTTGACAGTCTCAGAAGTTCAGTCCATTGTCATCATGACAGGGAGCATGGTCGGGAGCCGGTAGACATGGTACTGGATGTAGCTGAGAATCCTACATCTTACAAGCAACAGGAGGTCAACTGAGACACTGGGCAGTATCCTGAGCATAGGAAACCTCAAAGCCGCCCCCGCCCCCCACACGGTGGCACACTTCCTCCTACAAGGCCATACCCACTCCAACAAAGCCACACCTCCTTATAGTGCCACTCCCTGTGAGATTATAGGGGCCAGTTACATTCAAACTACCTCACTGGTCTTGCTTCCTCAGTTCAAACATTTTTACTGCTTTTAATTTTTAATTCAGAGACATTCTTAGTCACTGTCTTCCTTTCTTCACCCACCCATCCTCATTTTGAAACATATACATTGATCCCTTTCTTTCTTTGTTTGTTTTTGTCACTGAATTATTCTTTTATACGTGTCAGGTCTCTATCCCTTTGCTCTGCTCTCCTACCTGACTTTCTTAGGACTCAAAGCACAGAAATGCTTCAAATTAGCTCCCGTTCTTTTTCAAGTTCTCTCTCTCTCTCTCTCTCTCTCCTCCTTTTTTCTTTCTTTCTCTCATGTTTTCTTTAGACAGTATCTTGTCATGTAGCCTAGAATGGCCTCGAACTCTCTTCTGCCTTTGCCTCCCAAGTGCTGAGGTTATAGGCACACTCCACTCTGTTCTCTCTCATACCTGC